TGACGTGCTGACACAAATTTCAAATGATTTTCAATGGTCACATTGTCGCGTCCAGTGTAGACAGACTTTAGCTGATGCGGCGCGTCCGGTGTAGACACGGTGTAACGGTTGCCTGCTACATTACAGTACATAAAATTTCACTTACCACATAAACAGAGTAAGTAGAGATGAGTGAGGACGATGGCGAATGCTTTGCAGATCCTCAGCACCACTGACAAACATATAATCTTGTAAAATGTGTGGTAACTTAAGTACTGCTGCTCCATAGTATAAACAGAGTATGTGTGATCGCGAATCTCGAAAGTGAAGCTAAAAAGCGATTCAAAAGTGCATTCAAAAGCGCAGTTTCAATGCCAGGTATAATAACGGCTCCCTGATGCCCAAAATATATATGTAGTATAATTACCCAATGATATAACTGTGAAAGAAAATATTGAAATATATATTTTCCTCTCATCTCGTATTTATTCCTTTTAGGGGTTCCGTATACACATAATTTTCTTTCCGAACATGGTATTAGGATGCGGCGGATTGCGGGTATGGGGGGGGGGGGGCTATCACGATGCCGGCTCAACATCGTGATGTCTATCAGCCATCGGCGATGGGCGATGCCATCGTCTATCAGCCCAACCCTACTGTAACATGTTTTTTCATTCAACAAGAATGCATTATTCCGAAGGAAATTACAATTTTGCACCAACATCAGTATTTTCAGTGTACTATTAATTGGTTTGTCTCATTTAAAAATATTATGTCCCGTTAATACAATTACAGAAATCAGTATGACTATGCTAAACGCGCTGATGATTTCCTGGTTTTATGTAGCCCCTCCCTCAGAAATAGACGATGGGCTCTGATTGGTTAGCTAGCCCAGTGTGTTATGACTGGCTAAACCGCCTCTAGTGCGCGTCTAAACATCCCGGCCCCCTCGCCTCAGCGGCATGTGCTCCGGTTTTATTGTAAACAATGGCTTCATCAATAATGCTCATCAAATTGAGCCCGATTGAGACGCAGAGGATAATAGTGAAGTGGATCGTGCAGAACCTGTGCAAGCACACGGCTCTTAATGTTATGTTTTTTGTTTGTTGTTGTCTCATACTTTTAGATACGCTGTTATTTGTAAATGCTACTGCTTCTGTTAGCTTTTAATATACGGTTTTATCCTGATTAAAGCTTTAATACAGTACGGCAAGCGCATGCTCGTCCATGTATAATGCTTCTCATAGCTATGTGAAAATAAGTGTATAATTGGAACAGTTCATTGTTGGAGCTGAGCTGATGATCTGAATGAGAGAGAGAGAGAGAGAGAGAGAGAGAGAGATTTCCTGGTTTTATGTAGCCCCTCCCTCAGAAATAGACGATGGGCTCTGATTGGTTAGCTAGCCCAGTGTGTTATGACTGGCTAAACCGCCTCTAGTGCGCGTCTAAACATCCCGGCCCCCTCGCCTCAGCGGCATGTGCTCCGGTTTTATTGTAAACAATGGCTTCATCAATAATGCTCATCAAATTGAGCCCGATTGAGACGCAGAGGATAATAGTGAAGTGGATCGTGCAGAACCTGTGCAAGCACACGGCTCTTAATGTTATGTTTTTTGTTTGTTGTTGTCTCATACTTTTAGATACGCTGTTATTTGTAAATGCTACTGCTTCTGTTAGCTTTTAATATACGGTTTTATCCTGATTAAAGCTTTAATACAAGACAGAATTGCGATTCATATATGAATATATTTTTTTCGTGCACCCCTAGTTTTCTCTTCCTCTTCTCTAAAGCAGCACAATATGGCCTCTCCTCCTTCATTGAATGAAATAACCCACATGCACAGTAGTAAATGCTGCTCGATTTCTTCAAGAGCCGTTATTCACTCATAACGTGCATTTGAAAAAGCTACACACGCCAAACAACTTAAAGAGCATTATCCAACAAAAGAGAACATTTAATAACATGATTTTACTCCACAACATCAGCCGAGTGTTTAAAATAACTTCATTTTGTGATCCGATGTGGCTTCTTATCACAGAACGAGGCCATGTAGATTAGCATTGTATTATAAATAGTGCTGGGCGGTATGACCAAAACTTTATATCACTGTATTTTTCAAAATTATACCGGTTTCACGGTACACAAAGGTTATTTTTTTTCATGCATGACCGGGTGTTAACCATATTTTCTACTGATTGAGAGAGGAAATACTGCAGTAGATTGACTTAAAATGCCCTATTTTACTGTCATGAGTTAATATTGTCAACAAATACCACACTAAATAGTGACTAAACACGACCCCTTTTAATACGTTAACCAGGAGTCACAGGAGTGCATCTACACTAAAGAGCGGCTATGCGGTTGTTTTGGCTATATTACTTTTTTGTCTCATGCAGCGCACTGCCTGTGTCTGAGTAACAAACTAAAAAAAACAACAAACAAAAAAGTGCATGTGATATTAACAGACGAACTACGCTCATATTTATAATTCCAAACAAAGTGACAGGTGCTAGGAAATGCTGTTTTGTACTCATTTATTGATGAGTTGGCTGCGGTGCGGTCAACTGAATGCGCTGCTTCTCTGCCGCTCACTGCACAGAACAGACGCCGAGAGAGGTGACACTTACCCGGGAAAGTCAGACCTCGCGTACGCGGGACAGCACTGGCGAAATCCTCCAACTGAACCATAGCTAAAGGTTTATCCAAAAAAGTCACTAGGTTTGTCAATATGAATATTCTATGGAAAAAGGCCGCTAAAAGGGCCTGAAAGTTGCTAAATCTAGAGCTAAAGTTGCGCTTGTGTGTGTGTGACTCATCTGAGTTGTGTTAGTAACACATACAGCTGTTCCCTCACCACAGAGCAACAGTGAAAAGGGACCCCTTTCAAACAGTTTCGCGTTCCGAATGTTGTTTAAGCGACATTTTTATTTTTGTATAGCGGTATTGTAAAAATTAATATCATAACAAAAATAAACACCGGTATTCGGTATGAACCAGTATACCGCCCAGCACTAATTATAAATATACTTTATAATTTTAACACCAGAGATGGCTTGAAGAACACAGATGAACCATTTATTGTTGTGGTCATGTGTTTACTGTCTTCATGTTTGATCAGTTAAAGTGTTTGTATATTCTTTTTATTCAACATACTAGGTAACAAATTTATGCTTTAAAAGTAGGGTAATCATAGCAGGTTTATCCATATTCTGTCCATTTAAATGTCTGTGTTTAGCTTCAAATGGCATCAACACAACACAACAATACTTTTTTTCTCTTATTCCATGGATTTTACCCGTTTCCCTCCACCTGTTACCAGTGTTTTTTCTCCCACCACAATGAGCACGCAGCTGCAAGTGACGTAACTATGACATCTACTCCAAATTGGTCTATAGTTCTCTCTAAAGAAATTTGTGAAGTATGTTTGCTCAAGAATGTTTTGAGTTTGAACATTCTGAGTTTGTTTAATACTGTTGGAGTATGAATGCAATTTTTGTTAAAAAAAATTAATCCACTTTTTTATTCCAGATTTTTTTATTTATAAATGTTCAGTATTATTTTAAATAGGACAAGGACAAACAAGACTTAGATAAGTAATAAACTGCATTTCTAAATCAGTAAAACCGCAAATATTGTCTTAAATAAAGTCTTATGATGCAAATTGTATTTTGTGGCCCTTTGCATTTTATGTGGTTTAAATGTCCACATAATGGCCCCCTGGGCCTCTGAACTTGAGTACCCCTGCTGTATAGAAACCAGCAGCATTGTTCCTAACCTCTTTATGTTGAAGATGGTCTCCCAGTGTTTCTCCGTCATGTTTTTGATGAGCTGCACCTCGTCTAGAACCAGGTGCCTCCAGCGCCTCCTCAGGAAGTGAGACTGATCTTTCAGTAGGAGCTTGTATGAAGTCACACACACGTGGAAGCTGTTGGGCTCACACCACCGCTGCACACATTAGACAATAGTGGGAAAGTGAGAACAGACAAAAACAAAACATGGACAAATGTGCCCACTCAATCATCAAGGATCTAAATGACCTACAAACTAATTTGAAAACTACTTAGGGGAATTATCTAATGCAGTGGTTCCCAACCACGTTCCTGGAGGCCCCCCCAACACTGCATGTCCATGTTCCATGTCTCCTTTATCTGACACACCCATTTCTGGTCTTGGAGTCTTAGCTAATGAGCTGATGATCTGAATCAGGTGTGCTTGATTAAAGAGACACGCAAAATGTGGAGTGTTGGGGGGCCTCCAGAAATGTGGTTGGGAACCTAATGCAAAAACTGATGCACAACAGCTAGGCCACAGCAACAGGGATGGATAGACCGGTGGCAGTATGAGAGAGTACATAGCAGGCTGGTTTGCTTTCTCTGGTTCATACCGATCTCTTGTATCTGCGCTGCCTTCTGCTGCCAAGGTACAGGAGTATCTTCAGTCCAGGACACCAGCGTTTAAACTCCATCTCCCAGTTCAGCAGCTTACAGGTCCTCACCACCACTAAATGCGGCCCCCAGATACCTGCAGCAACCACATGACAGCAGAATGTGTTGCATTTTATTCTTAAAAATACAACAAACAAATGCTATGAGAAGAAAACCAAATATCATCGACTCTATAAAGGTGGCAAATGTGGTTGGTGGTGGTACCCTGGTTGCAGGCCAAGTGAGCAAAATAAGCCACAGTCTGTACAGTTTTGCCAAGGCCAGTTTCATCTGCCAGGATGCCGTTAAGGTTTTTGCGGTGGAGGCTTGCCAGCCACTCCACCCCTACCTGCTGGTACTCTCTCAGAGAGCCGTGCAGCAGAGCAGGAGGAGAGGAACGACTCTGAAAGGAAAGGGTTCATGAGCCATAAGACAATCAGACACTGTGCGACCACTGCTCAATTGAATTTTTAAGACTCACAGTTAGAGTGGTCCTGGCGCTGCCTTTGGGGAGAATCAGGTCCGTTGCTGCAGCAACCTCAGCGATATCCTTTGTGGGCTTCCCATCAGGGCCAAAAGCCATCCGCTCGGCCCCACGGTACTGATCCATGCTCAGCAAAGAGTCTATCAGCACTGCATCATGTGGACTGTCCAACGGAGGATCCATGTCTGAACAGAGAAGATAATAAACTGTTACTGTGACATCAAATCAATATACTGTCAAAAGTACTGATTTATTTGAATTCTTGGGGCTCTAAAGTTAGTTCTTAAGCAGTATATGTACACAAACCATCAGCTTCCTCTCGGTCTTCATCTTCGCTCTGGCTGGAAGGCTGCGGCCACTCAAAGCCCTCTGCGTAAGCACCAGCATACTGCTTCACCAGATCATCCAATGGCACTTCAGCTACAAGACACAGACACAGTTTATAGCAGTGGCTGTCCCATATGAGTTTTCAGTGGCTGATAACTACAGACTGAAGTGGCTGATGGTCGATGTAATTCAGATTTATAATTACCCAGCAATTTTGCATACTGAAAACATTATAAATAAATTAATTAGGCTGAAAAATATGTTGTACATAAAATTAAATCGTATCAAAAATTCACTAAAAACATTTGAAAACATTTACTAAATTATTAAAAAAAGCATTGTCAAGTGTATGAACAGATTTATATAACTACATAATGTTTCAAATATTTTTGAGAAGGCATGATCAATAAACTTAAAAATGCCCAAAATCAGTATTACAAATTTCAGTCGATGTCTAAACATGCAACACTCTATGCTCGTACATAGTCTGATATATTTCCAAAATTTTGAGGATAACAAAAAATGTATTACCGTTTAAAGACATGCCCATAAGTTTAAAATGTAAAACTTACTAGGGCTGAAAGATTTTGGAAGATTTTTTTTACATATATTGCAATTTAATATGCAATTATTTTTTAAAGCTCTTTATGTTCTGTATTATTCAACAAAGATAAGCTATAAATCATTGTATAATATGATCAACACAATATTAGATAGATGAAACATAAATGTTCTTTTCTGTAGGCCAGGCCTATATGTTACGATGAAATTAGGTGATGCATGAATTGATATGAATGACATTTTTATTTCCCAAGTACAATCACAGTATACTGACTGATTTGTTGAACTTTCATCCTTGTAAGCATGTAATAATTATGACAACATAAAGCACTAACAAATAAGCCTGATGTAAACATTAATATGAAAGTCAGTAACAAATCACACAATCTAAAGTAGATTGCAGAAATATAAAAACAAATGTAAATGTTTTTTTGCTTTACCACACTACTTTAGGTAATTCAAAGTCACTGTAATAAACATATGTAAACATGTGGACTGCACTTTTTAAACACTGTTAAATTTAGACAGACTTTAAATAAATAAATAAGAATATATATTAGTGCTGGGCGGTATGACCAAAAATTTATATCACGGTATTTTTCAAAATTATACCGGTTTCACGGTACATGATGGTATTTTTTTTTTCATGCATGACCAGATGTTAACCATATTTTCTACTGATTGAGAGAGGAAATACTGCAGTATATTGACTTATGACAGTAAAATAGGGCATTCTGAGTGAATATTGTAAAAAAAATCCCACACTAAATAGTGACTAAACACAACCCCTTTTAATACGTTAACCAGGAGTCACTCTCATTTATAATCGTGGCATTGTCTGATAAAATCAACATGCATCTACACTGAAGAGCAGCTATGCGGTTGTTTTGGCTATATTACTTTTTTGTCTCATGCAGCGCACTGACTGCATCTGAGTAACAAACTAAAAAAAAAACAACAAACTAAAAAAAGTGTATGAAATATTAACAGATGAACTACGCTCATATTTATAATTCCAAACAATCAGTAAGCGACAGGTGCAACTGAATACACTGCTTCTCTGCCGCTCACTGCACAGAACAGACGCCGAGAGAGGTGACACTTCTCCGGGACAGCTCTGGCGAAATCTTCCAACTGAACCATAGCTAAGGTTTATCCCAAAAAGTCGCTAGGTTTGTCAGTATGAATATTCTATGGAAAAAAGCCGCTAAAAGGGTCTGAAAGTTGCTAAAT